TATTTAATCTGTCTCTGAGTCAATCTAAAGTCTCAGTCACATTTCCAGTTTGGTCAGCATAGAAACAACACTCTTCCTTTAAGGCGGCACACAATCCTCCTTCTTTTAACAATAGCAAATCTAGTCCTCTCCTGTTTTGCAACACTACTTCTGACAGAGAGGTAAGAGACTCTTTTAGTCCTCTGACTGACTGTTCTAAGGCCTGTAGGTCTTCATTCATAGCCTGGTGTAGTCCTTGGTAATAGTCTGTTCTCGACAGAGCAGTTGCTCCGGTGGTTATGCCAGCGGCTATTCCTCCTGTGTTTAGTAACACGTCTAGAGTAATAGAGACAGGCTCTCGCTTGGCCCTCCCTGGATGTTCATAGGCAGCTAGAACAGTCTCAGACGGAAGGTACGTTATTCTTGGCCACAATTGAACAAGCACACAGAAGTCTTTGGTGACGTTAAGAACCTTTAGAGGATTTGGGGTTCGTTGAAGTTTCCATTCTGGTTCCTGGTCAGTCCCTGTAGTCCCTGTTGCTGGCTGATCCTTGGCGTGTTTCACGTGGGAGGCATGTACCCAGGCGGCAATTCCGTCGACTTTCAGGGCGGTTGGAGTACTCAGTAGGACAGTAAAGGGTCCTTTCCACCGTGGTTCTAAGGTTTTTGCCTGGTGTCTCCGGACATACACCTGGTCTCCTTCCTTGAACGGGTGAGGGCACGGTGGAATGTCTTTGTCCTTGTAGGCCTCTGCAAGCGGTTTCCAGATGTACTCTCTCACTGCTCTGAGAGCCTGGAGATGCGCCTGTAACGAGGGTGGATGGGGGAACATGGTAGGATCAAAATCACAGAAAGAGGATGCCGGTGGTGGGCTCCCATATAATATTTCAAAGGGAGTCAGCCCATGATATGCAGGAGTGTTGCGCACTCGAAAAAGGGCCATAGGGAGGAGTCGTACCCAGTCTTTTCCGCCAGTCTCTAGGGCTAATTTAGTCAAGGTCTCTTTTAGAGTTCTATTCATTCTTTCTACCTGGCCTGAACTCTGGGGTCGATAAGCACAATGTAGTTTCCAATGAATCCCCAAACTCTTGGCCACCCCCTGACTTACCTGGGAGGCGAAAGCGGGACCGTTATCTGACCCTAATACTTGCGGCAATCCGTACCGGGGAAAAATTTCTTCAAGGAGTTTTTTTAACGACTGTCGTGGCCGTTTCATTCTTCGTGGGGTAGGCTTCTACCCAGCCTGAAAAGGTGTCTACAAAAACTATGAGATATTTATAACCATACAGTCCCGGTTTTACTTCAGTAAAGTCTATTTCCCATTGTATTCCCGGTCGGTGTCCTCGGGCACGGGCTCCTTGGGGGAGTTTTAGTCGCCTTGCGTTTACCTGGGCACAAGGCTTGCATTGATCCACTGTAATTTGAGTAAGAAACTGCAGGTCAGGAGTTATAAACGGGCATTTCTCATTTGCAAGTAGAGCGTGCATTTTTCTCCGGCTCAAATGAGTGAGGCGGTGGAGGTGTTCAATGATTTCAGTAGCTAAGGGCAGGATGACCTTGTCTTTTTTTCTCCATGCTTTGCACTTAGCATCCCACTCCCCTTCGAGTTCTTTAATGAGAGCTCTGTCATTATCAGTATATTTAAATGGAACTCCCCAGTTGCAGACTATGTCATCTGTGTTTTGCCTGGTCTCTTCGGGTCCCATTTTTGAGTTTATTTCCAGGGGTAGGGCTGAGATTGGCTCAGTGGCAACAGTTTTTGCAGTCTGGTCTGCCAGTCTATTTCCTCTAGCTACTGGATCTGTTCCTTTTTGGTGGCCCGGACAATGAATAATGCTCAGTCTTTTTGGAAGGAATAGTGCCCTTAAGAGGTTTATTATCTCTTGCTTGTTCTTTATTTCTCGTCCTCCTGAAGTTAAGAGGCCCCTTCTGCGATAAATCTCACCGTGCACATGGGCCGTAGCAAAAGCATACCTACTGTCAGTATAGATGTTTGCTACTTTTCCCGCCGCCAGTTCTAGAGCCTTTGTGAGGGCTATTAGTTCAGCTCACTGGGCCGACGTCCCTGGCTCTAGGGCACTGGCCCAGACTACGGAGTCATTGTTACTCACCACTGCTGCTCCTGCCCGCCGAGTCTCTTCGGTGACATAGCTGCTGCCATCTGTGAACCAGGTTACCTCCGCATCTGGTAGAGGCTGGTCAGTTAGATCTTCACGAGTCCCATGAACTTCGGCCAGAATCTGGGAGCAGTCATGGGGGGCATCCTTGGCCGTTCCCGGCTCCGGCAATAGGGAAGCGGGATTGAGCGTAGCAACTGGTCCAAAAGTAATGCGTTCAGGAGCTAAGAGCAAAGCCTGGTAGTGAGTCATGCGGGCGTTTGAAAGCCACCTGTCTGGCGGTTGGCGGACAACCGACTCCACAGCATGTGGAGCTATTATTGTGACTTTCTGTCCCAGGGTTAGTTTGTTTGCGTCCCTGAGCAGGGTCGCAATAGCTGCTACCATGCGCAGGCAAGGGGGCCACCCTGAGGCCACTGGATCTAGTTTCTTTGAAAGGTAGGCAACCGGTCGTCTCCAAGGGCCTAGGGACTGAGTCAATACTCCTTTTGCAATTCCTTTGGCCTTATCCACATACAGTGTGAATGGTTTTGTGACATCAGGCAGTCCCAGGGCCGGTGCCGTTAGGAGGGCCTCTTTAATGCAATCAAAAGCCCGTTGTTGTTCTTTTCCCCAGATGAAGGAGTTTTTTTTTTCCTTCGTTAACATGTACAAGGGAGCGGCCAGCTCCGCAAACCCAGGTATCCACAGCCGGCAGAATCCTGCCGCTCCCAGAAACTCACGTACCTGTCGGGAGTTCCTTGGGACTGATATAGACGCCACCGCAGCTTTCCTGGCTTCAGTTAACCATCTTTTTCCTCCCTTTATGACATATCCTAGGTAGGTTACCTCCTCTCTGCATATCTGGGCTTTCTTGGCAGATGCCCGATATCCTAGGGCTCTCAATTCACGTAACAGGGCCCTTGTCCCTTCTAGGCAGGCCTCTCTGGTAGGTGCTGCCAGCAAGAGATCATCTACATATTGGAGGAGAGTCAGATTGGGGTTATTTAATCTGAATGCCACCAAGTCTTGATGTAGGGCCTCATCAAAGATGGTGGGGGAATTTTTGAAGCCTTGTGGCAATCGAGTCCAAGTCAGTTGCCTACTTACTCCATGTTCCGGATCTCTCCATTCAAAAGCAAATAAAGGTTGGCTCGCCGGGCTCAGTCTGTAGCTAAGTCGACCCGCCGATCAGTCGTCCACCGGTACGCGCGTCCTCCTGTGGCTCCCTGTACCCACGAGGTCTTCTGGCTCATAGGTCCATCAGTAGTTGTCAAAACTGAATGTTGAGCCCCGGTGTCTACTAGAAACGTGGTGGGCTTGCCTCCCACAGACAGAGTTAGCCTGGGCTCAGGGGGAGGCTCCTGGCCCCGACTGGCCTAGTCTTCTAAAGTCAAAACTGAGGTCTGCCTTTTCTTGTTTCTAGGATTGTTGGGACAATCCTTTGCCCAATGGCCGTTTTCTTTACAGTAAGCACATTGATCTTTCCCTAAACGGTTTCGCCGCTCACCTCCCTGTTCCTTAAACTGTCTCCCTATCTCAGTTCCCTGGGATGTTATTTGCTTGTTATGAACTACAGTGGCCAAGATACGGCTCAGTTCTTTATTCCGTCGCTTATCTCTCTTATCCTCTCTTTTTTCCTGCATCTTTCTTAGTCTCTCTTCTCTCTCTCTTATTGAAAATTTTATCTGCCTCTTTTACTAAGTCCTGCAAGCTATAATTCTGCAATCCTTCTAGTCTTTGTAACTTATTTCGAATGTCTGGTGCCGACTGTCCTATGAAAGCCATAATCACTTCCCCCTGCCTATCTTCACTTGCCGGATCAAACGGTGTATACATGCGGTATGCTTCCATTAGTCTTTCTAAGAATCCCGCGGGAGTCTCCCCAGCTCCCTGTAGAACTGCTCTTACCTTAGCCAAATTAGTGGGTCGCCTTCCGGCACCCTTGAGACCTGCCAACAGAGTCTGGCGATAAAGACGGAGACGCTCCCTACCATTTGGAGTGTTGAAGTCCCAATTAGGTCGGACAAGGGGGAACACTTCATCAATTTCGTTTGGAAGTTGGGTGGGCTGCCCATCAGCCCGAAGGACATTCTTTCTGGCCTCCATCAGCACCAGTTGGACTTCTTCTGTGGTCAGTAGAGTCCATAACAGCTGCTGACAATCATCCCAAGTCGGCTGGTGCGTCAACAAGATGGACTCGATGAGACCTGTTAATGCTTGGGGGTCTTGGGAGAAAGGAGGGTTATGAGTTTTCCAATTATACAAATCAGAGGCAGAGAAAGGCCAATACTGGACCTGCCCCCCTACAATTCTCAAGGGGTACAATTGTGAAGACCATTGCCCTTCTCCTCTTTCTCCCTCCTTTAATTGAGCCCTGCGTAGCCGCAACCTGGTATGGATTGGGGATCTGGCTTCAGGCTGTTCATTTACAGTGGTGTCTGGAGAGCCCATCTCCCCGGTCTTCCTCTTGGGGGTTCTCCTTCAGGTTGATGCTCCTGGGGATAAGGTGGAGGAAGTTCAGAGGTCATTAATAGGTCCATCTGACTATCATCAGGCAGGACAGGCTTAGGTCGAGGACGAGTAGCTTCCAGCGGACAGAGGGAAACAAGAGCAGAGGGTTGGGGTTGGGGCGGAGCTGAAGGCGCCGGCAATTCTGGAGAAGGAGGAGGAGGAGGACAGGGTGCGATGAGAAAAGGTTGAGCCCACGGCGGGGGATTAACCACGAGGTCCTCCCATACTAAGATATACGGTAACTGGTCAGGATGCCCCGATGGTTTTGTCTCTACAGCCCTAAACTCCAGCCACTCTTCACACTGCAGGACAGGTTTATAGCAAAGCAATGCAGACTAAGCTTGGTCTAAACACACAGGAACCAGCAGCCAGGACCCAAGGGCTGCAGGCAAGACACTTTCGGCATCACCAGTTGTAGACCCTCTCAGAACAAACTAAATCTTTTACTGGGTGGCCCCCAGGAAACTTACAAGAGATCATTAATACTATAAATACTATGAACAAGAGTTTTTACACAGCACATTAAATATCATCTGGCTTGTTACAAAAGTTATCTGTAGACTCTAGGCGTGCTGGGAGCAGGAGCCCCCGGAGCCTGCCTGTGGGGATTTGCATGGGGCTGGCTGGGAGGGCAGAGGCGAGGAGGGCACAGGGAGGCCTGGGGTTCCCGGCCTGTCTACTCCCACAGCCAGTCCCTCAGAGAGAATGAAACAGGAGGAGGATCCTATCAAAGTCTTCTTGGGTCAATCTGCTGACCTCTGGGCAGCCGCAGCTGGTACCTGTGCCGGGCAAAGGGAAAACCAGGGACGGATCCATGGGGGGATTCTGAGACAGATTTCAAACCAGGATAAGGCTGCTGATCAGGGTGGCCTTTTGGACCTGTTGGAAAAACAATCCTTTAAACTGTTTGGATGATAAGAGCCTCCTTTCGGCCAGCCCAGGTTGAAAACGGGGCCCTTCTGCAGAGCAGAAAGTCTGTCAAGATCTTTTCTTAACCGGGAGGGAGAGGTCGTGAGTCCTGTCCTTATCTTCAGTCCAATGGTCAAGAGTCAAACTAAGGGGAATCGTCACAGTCTGTTCCATAATTAAAGACAAAAGACCACACACAATAATTACAAAACAAATGACACAAACAGGATTCGCGCGATGCAAGATTTCCTAAGGGCCCGATACAAAATACAAGAAGGTCGACCGTACAAAGCCAGACGAGGGTGAAGTGATCTTCACCCCGTCTCCAAGGCACCGGAGCGTCCCCCGGCGTACAAGACCAGACGAGGGTGACATGATCTTCACCCCGTCTGCAAGGCACCGGAGCGTCCCCCGGCGTACAAGATCAAACCGGTACCGTTCAAAGACTGGGGGGGGGGACAAGGACAGTACAGAACAACACAAAAACAAAAAACACACTTTCCGATCGGTCTTACCTCCCTCTGCGAGAGTTGTTTGCTGAAGACGGTCGCTCCATTCCCGGCCAATGCACCAAAATGTTAGACTCAGGGAGAGTCCAACCCCGTGGAGGGGAGTCACACCGTCATTGGCAAAACAAGTCAAACGCAGAGGCTGCAATAAGCATGAGGATTTTATTGAACATTCGCGAATGGGCAACAGAGTCTCTGGAGGCATCCAGGACTCTGTGCGCCCCAAGCAGGTTAAAGCACCTTTTTAAAGGACAAAACCGCAAACTTCGCATAACAGCTGGCATTTTACTTTAAGATTAGAATCTCTTTTATTCCTGCAGCTGCCTGCTCCGGCCTTGCTACCTTATCTCTTTTATTCCTGCAGCTGCCTTGTTCATGTCTGGGAAACTGAAACTTTTACTTCCTTCATGAAATAGCTTTTCTATATTTATTCCAACATGGCTCTACTCTTGCTCAGCAGAAAGCAATATACAGAAGCAAAATCAAGCGGTTATTCTAAGCTCTTACAGTGAGAGTCCTTCAAACATGCCATCCCGACCCTGGCATCACTTCCTGCTTTCCCTTTCCCACAGCTCGCAAAATTCGTTCCTTTCTGGTTATCCGCCAATGACATGGAACCGCTGCATGTCTCACCTGAGAATCCCAGCGGCTCCTCCCCCTGGTCCCCACACTCAGCTGTGGCTCAGATCATCTCAGTCGCCAATCCCTGGGAGAACTCCAACCAATTGTCGAGGCTCCGCTCCTCTCCCTTACACGCAACCTTGCAGGTTCACCTGTTTTGTATAAGTGAGCCTCCACGTGTGCCACCTCTCTTTCTCTCTTCCTCTTCTTCTCTCTTTTCCTGGCTCTCCCCCATATTTCATCTTGCCCCTTCCTCTGTCCTGGAGGACCCCGTCCTGCCACCATGGCAGGAGATGTTTCCCTTCCGGTTTCCTCACCCTGCACCCCCACTCCCAATTCTCCCCTGATGGAATAAAGGACCTCCTAAGCACCTCGCTGTGTCTGGGATTTTGGCTTGTGCTAAACTCATCGTGAAAGGAGGACTTGGCTGGAGGAATGAGCTGCGTGTGGGAACCTTAATCGTGCTTAGGAAGTAACAGCTGGGTTGAGGCAGGGCTGGGGCAGGGCTGGGGCAGTGCGGGGCAAGGCTGGCCAGGGCTGAGTTGGGCTGTGAATGGGCTATGCTGGCGCAGAGGCAGGGCCGGAGCAGGGTTGGGGATGGGCAGGCACGGGGCGGTGGACAGGGTCTGGGCTGAGGCTGTGCTGGGGTTTTGTCTGTGCCGTGGGGCAGGACTGGACTGGGCTGTGGCTGGGCGGGGCTGCCGCTGGGATAAGGCTGAACCGGGACGGACTGGTGCTGGGGCTGGACATGGGAGGGGCTTGTCTG